CGGCATCATTTTGGGTCACATGCAACCTGTGATGCTCTGGCCAGTGTCCCACCCAGGAGCTGAGCGGCCAGTGATGTCAGATAGCTGGGCGGGACAGTGGACAGAGTCAGAGCCAGAGACAACGACCCCAGCCCCCCCCACCGCTCCCCCCTGTGAACCACCAGCACCCCCCTTCACGTATCCACCAACACCTATCCGTAATGTGCACCACCAGCACCCCCCAGCTTCAGGAGCTGAAAAGTCTAGGGACACCTCTGTGTTTCTAGATATTTTAAATGTATACAGTATGAACACCACCACAGAGCCACCAGCAAACACTGCGCATGGCAAATGGCTATGAATATTGGCTTTCACTAAGAGCCTTGGTTCCCACCGATGATTGGGAACCAACCAGAGTGGTTTCCAATCCTGTGATCGCTATGTCAGCTATGAAGGCTGGAGTCGTCATTGATAAGTCAAAAGCTTTATGCTGCTGTGAAATGAGATCTATAGTGAATTATTTTTTTTTATAAACAGAATTTATCACATTTCAATGAACACATATGCAAAGAAATAGACAGGCATAGTGATAGTATTAATCAATCATAAGAGGAATAAGCAGGGGTCATAGTACTCACCATATCAAGAAATTATATCAGTATTAAGGGAAACCCCAATCAGGTACCCCATATTATCCATGGACCACCCTGCCTACTGGAAAAGGGAGGAGTGATGAAGAAAATTGAAGAGCAAAAAAAGTTCAGCAGAGTAGAGAAGAGCCTGCAGTGCAAAATGTTTAATACTTGTAATTGATAGTATCAATTACATTTTTAAAATAATAAATAATAACAATACAATAAAAAATAGTTTTCTTATGTGTGCATTTTGAACATAGAAAAAAAAATAAAAACAGATCAGATTTTTTAAAATTAAAACAGTGTACCAAATAAAACGCTTTATATGTTCTGAAAGTATAAAAAAAATATTCAAGTACAAAAATTAGACATACACACATTTTTTGAGGAGTGGGGGCACATCAGAAGGCCTTGCATTTTGGGGATAGTTACCTAAACTCAAACTTAAACATAAGGAAGGCATATAAAAAACCTCATAAAGCCTGGTCCAATTTCCTCCAACAGGCAAAAAATACCTTCCAGCCGATCAATGAAGCTTCATTATTTTTTATCTTTCTTGGGCAGACGTTACTTTGGTGGTGCCCAACATGGGTTTTTTAATCGTATCACAGTTATGATCACAGTCACTTGGCATTTGCTACATTTTTAGCTAATTTTTTTAACACATATAGGCATTTATATTCTATTCTATACTTTTATATTGTAAGCTCTCAGGGGTAGGAGCCTCCTTACCATCTTGTCTGGAATTGTATTGTGATTGTAATGTCTTCCTTATATTGGACCTACAAACAAGGTCCAAATGTGCCAACACAACCAATCAGATTACAGTTGTCATTTCTCTGGTTTATAATATTCAGGCCCTGAAGCACATTATAACAACTCAACTCAACACTTTCTTTGTGCAATTGTCTGCAATAAATAAATGTAACAAACAAATTCTTCCATCCGTTCTCAATCTCCTATTCCATGTGCATTTGAAGGCATGGCCAGATGTTTTTTTAATTAGTGATAAGTTTTCAAAGACAAGTCAGTGAACTGATTTTTTTTTAACTACATCTGACAAGCAGCAATGCATGCAAATATTCAGGAAAGTTTTTTTTCAACAAATATAGGTCAAGGTAAAGGGACTCCTGTTGCCCCCCCCCCCCCCCCCCCCCCCCCCCCCCCCTTTGGAGTTCTGTGCTGCAGCTGAACGTTCCCCTGCGGGACTCCAGGAGCTATTGGGAGCCCACTGCACCTTTAAAAAAACCACCAAAAACCACATTAATTTTGCCTAGATTCCGATTGATTCTAATGCATTTTGCCAAGATGACCTTGAAAGTTTAGGGAAATTGAAACTCTCGATCGCCCTCATCCTTACCCAGGAGACATTGTGAGGTGTTATGTTCTTTAATATGGGCAACTTCAAAGGAATCTTGATACCGATATCTCCTTCTGAAAATGCTAACTGTTTGGCTGTCTTGCTGCCCTCTATTCTTCAGGACTTGAAATCATTAACCCAGAATAAGTATACAAATAAGGACGTCTGACTCTTAATTTGTAACTTCAACTGTAGTAAAGCCCAACTCAACATTTCTATTTTTTTTTTATTATTTCTAGGGATGCACCAAAATGTTGGCCCCTGAAACATTTCGACCGAAACTGGTACTATGGACAAAATGCTGATAGTACAAAAATGGCAGAAAATGTGGCTGAAAATGTGGTGCATCCCCAGCTTGTCTCCTGCCCACTAGGCGCCAGCTGCAAGCTTTGGTCGGTGTCCCCTCCAATCTCTGCTGCTTTCCCCCGCCTTTGTCGGCAGAGGCAGCAGGGATTGGAGGGGACACAGAGCCGATCCAGCTACCGGCATCCAGTGGAAAGGAGAGAAGTTGTCCGGATAACTGAGGACATAGTAAGCTTTCTATGTCCCCAAATTATGAATGAACAGGAAGTGCCCTACATCACTTACTGTTTATTCATGACTCATTTAGAACTCTGTGTCCTCAATCTCTTTTTTAGACCCCAGATATTTCACCCAAAAGCCCCCAACAGTAAAGTAAAAAAATAAAAGTAATAGAAATAAAAATAAAATAATTTCAAAATAATTAAAAATTCTTTAAAAAGGTTGGAAAAAAGTAATTTTCGGTTTTGGTTTAGGCCTGACAAATTTTTTAATCTAATTTCGGTCTAAAAATGTCATTTTGGTGCATCCCTAATTATTTCTATTATTTTTAAATAAGTGACCCAGCACTGGATAAAAATAAAAGAGAGAAACTGTCACTGCAATACTCAACTCCTCTCCGGTGCCATCACCTGCAGATTTGCCACTCTTTGATCCATTGGCAAAACTCTTCTGTCATTCAACCCACTTCTTGCAAGCCCGGGCAACCATGGACATGCTAGCTAAGGACGCATCATCATGTTGGCCTGTGCTCCCATTACTATTGGACAGCGCAATACTCAGTACACATCATTATATGAGTGCTACAATGTCTATTAGTAAGGACCCATTCGTCACCAATGCCGCAGGTGAAGAAGAAATTTATGTGACCACACCAGACTGGACAGAAGACTGAAGGATTCAAGTTTTGTATAAAGGGAAAGAAAAGCGACGGGAGTGGAGTTGAACTGGGGCTACAGGCAGGGCCGGTGCTAGACTATTTTGCGCCCTAGGCAAGACCAGCTACTTGCACACCCCCTCCCGTGGCTGGCGCAGCCCCCAATCCCCCCCCCTGCGCAGCCCCATTCTCCTGTGGGTTAGCTTCTGGAGGCGACAGGTGGATGTAATTTAATTTGTAATAGCCAATAGCAGGCTGGCTATTGAAACCCCAGCCACTGAGCAGAGGAGCGTACCTGAGAAAGAGAGTTCAACAGCAAAAAGTTTCCCAGCACACTCACCAGCCAGCATGCAAAAAAACTTGTGTCACCGCTATGGTTAAAAATCCCCCCAATACGTCCCCTGGTAGGATGGATGATTAAATGTTTGTGAGACTAGGTATAGATAGACGATTGAAGCATAGATATTTACTTACAATACAGTAGACTTAGAATACACCTTGGCCTAAAGTAAAATACTGCAAATGTATTGTAATGTAATGGAATGTCAAGTAATCGTATTGTATGTATTGTATTTGTTTTGTCTTAAAATTATATGTTAATAAAAACTAAAAATTTAAAAAATGTGAAAGCCGCACCACCGCTCCAAGGCACCTCTATATAGTGCGGTCCTAACTGTAAACTATGAGAGTCTCAATTTTGGAGCAGATGTAACAAAGGATAAAAATTGGTGCAGGTTTGGGGGCACTTTCTATTGTGGGGGGTGAACGGTCAAGGCTGTGCCCTAGGTAGCAGTGCGCCCTTGGCGGCTCCGTAGTTTGCCTAGTGGCTACAGGCAGGGCTGGATTTACTCTCTCTGCTGCCCCAATGCTAGGTTCCTCAATGAGCCTCCCTGTATGCAGGCTGCATACCAGTGATCTCAGTGACATCGGCGAGATCACTTGTACAAAACAAGTGGCAGGTTCCCCGCTGTACATTTAGCCCTGCTTGTCCAAAGCAGGGCTAAATGTATAAAACAACTACACGCCCGGAAAAGCATGTCCGGGCGTCGGGAGATAGGAATTCCAAACCCCTGCTGCCCCTCTACTCCCTGCTGCCCCGAGGTGAGGCCTCGGTTGGCCTTGTGGAAAATCCGGCCCTGGCTACAGGGTCAACTTTCAACTGGATAACTAGCATTTTAAGAATCCATAATGGTTTCTCATGATAGGTTTACTGAGCAAATGAAAACTTTCAATGCGTTCACTTAAAGGAGAACTATGGGGTCAGGGGTTTTCCCTAGCGTCCTTCCTTTCACCCTAAGCTCAGTATACCGCGAGCTACAGCTCGCGGTATACTGAGATGCCGCAGCCGTAGAGAGCCGTGACAGGATTGAGAAGTGAGCGAACACCGGCATGTGTTCGCTCACCTCCCGATCTACTGAGCCGACCTGTGACAGTCTCATTGTCACAGGTCGGCTAGAACTATGAGGTGAGTGAGAAGCACTCACCTCATAGTTCTCCTTTAATAGTTCACCGATTACCCTTCAGTCGAATCATTGCAAACCAACACACCCAGACATTGGAAACCGCAGCAGAATCCTCCGTACTGAGTCCTTCTTTGTGCTTATATATAGGTACCTTCAATTAAGGAAAATCTAGTATTAATATTACATTTGTTTTTATTATTTATTTTGGATAATAGTCATATGTTTTCAATAAAAAATAGGAAAAAAAAATCAGTTATTCCACGCTAACGCCGACTTGAGACAAAAATTGCTAACATATAGTGTATCCGCCATCTGTGTTTGATTTGAAAACATCTTTGGCAGGAAAATACACACATACAAATGATTTTATTTTTCTTGTTTTACAGATTCCCAGGAGGGAAGCTACAAATCCGACGTAAACAGTAAACCTCGGAAAGAGCGGACGGCCTTTACCAAAGAGCAGATAAGGGAACTGGAGGCCGAGTTCGCCCACCACAACTACCTGACGAGGTTGAGGCGATATGAAATAGCAGTAAACCTGGATCTCACTGAAAGACAGGTACTACCCATAAGGTGCATCATGCTTTTTGGGGTTTTCAGGTACAGCAGGAATTATGAAAAGTGTTCTTCAAGGATGACCTGCCTTTTGTATACATTGGAGGTAACCAATTAATAGATCAAAGAAAAATAATACATAGGGTCGTCCCTACTCTTTTGACCCCCTGAAGCGGGGTGCTGCAGTGCACATTAGGGGTGGGATTAGGGGGTGAATGGTACCTCTGTTCAGTGTCCCGCCCAGTTCACTGACTTCACTGGTTGCCAGGAGTTGCTTGGAGGAACACCTGCCAGAGGATCATGCTCAGCTCCTGGCAACCAGTGACGTCAATGAGCTGGGTGGTAGCCCGACCAGAGTGTTCCAGTTTGCTAAGAGCTCTTAAGAAAATGGCTGGCCGGAAAAGGGGCTGCAGGCAAACCTGCTGCCATGCCACCACACGACCCAATCAAAAGCCACCTGCGGCAACCACCTCAGGCTGCCTTATTATAGAGATGGCCCTGGAAATCAAGATGCAGCCTATCAACTCAAGTACTCAGTTCTAGTGGCTTCACAAAAAAGGTAGACATGGTCATTAGACATCGACAGGTTGTGTAGGCAATCTAGTGATGAGCCAATCGCTTTGCAAATCAGGTGAAGTACATGAATGTAGAGCTTTCCAGACTGTGAAGAATCATATACAATGTATGGCCAAATATTTGGGTAAACCTGACCATCAATCCTGCATGAGCTTGTTGGACATCGCATTCCAAAGCCATGGGGATTACTATGTAGTTGGTCCCCACTTTGAGGCTATAATCCATTACACTCTTCCAGGATTCTTTCCACAAGATTTTGGAGGGTGTCTGTGGGAATTTGTGTCCATTCAGTGAAAAAAGCATTTATAAGGTCAGGTACTGATGTTGGACTATAAGGCTTGGCTCAAATCCATGTTCCAGTAAATCCCAAAGGTGTTCAGTAGGTGAAGTCAGAGCTTTGGGTTGGTCACTTGAATTCCTCCACACCAAGCTCTACAAACCATGACTTTGTGGAGCTGACTGTATTATAGTACAGTCATGCTAGAGTAGAAAAGGGCCTGCTCTAGCAGAATCTGCTACTTGGGCTACTTTCAGTGGCGTCACTAGGGGGGTGCGGGGGGTGCGGCCCGCACCCAGGTGACACCATTGGAGGGGTGACACCAAAATGATTCACAGTCATTTTGGTGTCACCCCCCTCTGAAAAGTCGGGCGCTCGGTCATGGACCGAACGCCCGACAGTATCAGGGGAGAGGAGGGGACCCGGGGGCATACCTTCTCCCGCCCGGTGACTGTCCCCCTCTC